ATACATACATACATACATACATGCATACATATATACATACATACATACGCACATACATATATACATACATACATACACACATACATACATACACACATACATACACACACACACCCCTGCGAAAACGAAAACCCTCAAATCCTACGGTAAGTCCCCGGCCAAAAACCCCTTAAAAACCCCCGAGCCAGCGATTCAACCAAGTCCTCGAGGCATGGCACCGAGACCCTACACCTTAAACCCCGCCTGAATAGCGGCACCCTTGGCAACATCTTCATTGGCTTGGCTGCTGACGATGGGCTCCTTCACCCAAGGCTTCTTGCGATCATTGCTGCAGGGCTCAAGGTGCCATACAGTCTTATCTGGTTTTGAATGGGGTCAAAAGGCTTTCAAGGGTATTTAAAAGACTTTTGTTGGTTTTAAATGGTTTGAAAAGGCTTTAAGGATTACAAGGGTATTTACAAGACTTCTATTAGGGCTGTGGAAGGGCTTAATGTCGACCCCTTATTCGCAATGCCCCTGTCTCTCAGGGCCTTAGGATCCATATTCGTACGGCGGCCTTAATGGTTAGCAACGATTCAGGCGTTTGGATCATGCACCTTACCAGGGAGGAGTCTTTGTTCATCGTGGGTCAACATTAGGGTTGTGTAGGGCTCAGGGACAAAAGACCCAAGGAGATAGTAACAAAGACGTTAAGAGGTTACCAATTTGTTACTTCGAGAGAATCTGCGACAGGGGACTTAGTTGCAGTGTTGCACTTCAGGGTATCGTGTATGACCCCGATATAATTGGATCTATCGCAGCCAAATCTTGCATGAACATCGCATAGTGTGGGGTTCGGTTCGGCAACATTGTCTTGAACAAGAGCATCTGGCACTGCCCGTTTATTCTTGGGGTTCAGGGTTTAGGGGTTTNNTTTAGGGATTAGGGTTTAGGGTGGCTGGGCTGTCACGTCCAAGGGGGAAGGATTAGGACGTGGAGGTGCTCCCTACGCAGGATACCCTGAACTCCTGCACTCTTCAGTGTTCTCGAATCGAAGATGCCATGTACCCTAAACCCAAAACCCTAAACCGACACGAGCCAGGGCTTTCGTCAGCTGGCCTTGCCACCGAAGAACTCCTTGACCATCTCCTGCAAAATGCAGCCGTAGAATCAGGGAGCGGCATGCTTGGATGGAGGGCCAGACCCTAAACCCGAAACCCCAAA